ATTGTCGAAAGTTTTCAACTAAGTCAGTTTTAAACATACAGGGTGCGTCAAAAAAAATGCAGCAGTGTAAAGTTATATTTTTTTTTTCAAAAGAACACCCTGTATATTGTGCGCTAATTTTTTAGTCCCTTTTAACCTGATTTCAACGATATACGGTTTGATATGTCCATCTTTAATAGTTATAGGAAAAACATGAAAACCCCTTTTAAGGTTTCATATTGAAAAAAGAAAAATTATACCATTTAAGCTTTAGAGAATTTTTTTGAGAGAGTTTATTGTTCAAATTTTGTTCATTAATATACAAGGTGAAATATTATAATAAATCCAGATGTCTAAATTATTAAGAAAAATTTTAAAAATATAACATGAGAGACCTAGAGAGGGAGTTTGGCGTTTTTCCCTATAACTATTGGAAATAAACCGAGAGATAAACATATTATCAAACTAAAAATAACAAAAAAGGAACGTTAGACAGATGGCTTCAAAAGGAACGTTAGACAGATGCCTTGTGAAGCCCGCCGAGGTTCTTATGCCAAAAATAATGATTTGATCTCTCCCATTCGAAAAGCAAAAATGTCAATATTATGCCTTTCAATAACTTTATTACATTCCAACTGCATATTATTAATTGGAGAGTTGTTTAGATTTTTACATAAAAAAATCTTGTTACCATAAAGTCTAAGGTTTATCTTTGGTACATGAAAACTTACATAATTTATCAATAAGGATGACTTGTACTTAAGATTATTGACTATGTTGTAAATGAGTAGGACTGACTGCATACATCTTCTACTGTGTAGCGATTGAATCTTAAAATCTTCCAACATACTCCTATATGACACCAACAATGGGTATACATTATAACTTCTGACATAAAGATATCTAAGAAATCTTTTCTGTACCTTCTCTATAAGGTTGATGTTAACTTCGGTTTGAGGTGACCAAACAACCGCAGCGTATTCCAAATGAGGTCTCACCAAACAATTGAAAAGTTTTACTACAGAATCAATCCTTTCGAAATGCCTACTATTTCTAATTATAAACCCAAGAGCTCTGTATGCTTTATTAACAATAGTATTATAATGACTAGAAAAATTTAGGTTTGACTGAAATTCAACTCCTAGGTCTCTACACTTATCTTGTCTTGTAAGTGAAGCATTGTTTATGAAGTAATCGAACTTAATAACATTTACCTTACGTGTATAAGTTATTACTGAGCATTTATCGGCATTAAGATACATTTTGTTTAACTGAAACCAATTGGATACTGAATCGAGATCACTTTGTAGCTTTCCACAATCTTCAGCATCACAAATTTCCCTATATACCTTAAAGTCATCAGCATACATCAGACAAGAAGAGTGCTTAACACATAAGGGCAAGTCATTAACAAAAAAAGTAACAAGTAAGGGCCCCAGATTGCTCCCCTGAGGGACACCAGATGTCACAATAAAATCGGAAGACAAACATCTACCCACCTTAACTTGTATTGACCTAGATTCAAGATAAGACTCAATCAGCATACATGCACTTTTGGAAAAGTTAAACTTACTTAATTTACTTATCAATAAACCATGATCGACCTTGTCAAAAGCTTTTGTGCAGTCAGTCATAATGACATCCAATTGACTTTTGTTATTTATTGCTTCCGAAGCCTTGCAAGTCAACAGACAAAGATTTGTCACAGTGGACCTATCCGGCAAAAAACCATGCTGCTGGTCTGAAAAAGAACTTTGAAAATATTCTAATAGTTGTTTACACAAGATTGTTTCATATATTTTGGCTAAAGAATTTACAATTGTTATTGGTCGATAGTGCTCAATGTTGTTTTGACTTTTGCCAACTTTGGGTATTGGAGAAATTACTGAATTTTTGAGAAGACTAGGAAATTTATTTGTTTTGATTGACAGATTAAAAATATGTACAAGGGGCTTAACAAATATATCTACATAGCCTTTATAAATATAGGGTGGAACATTATCCACATCAGTGGCTTTTTTCGGTTTAAGTTTCTTAAGAGGCCTGGGTACCTCTGTGCGACGGGTTAAACTATGTCTTAATTTACGTCTAAAGTATTGGATCAAAATCAATGAAATTTGGTGGGATGATAGATGATGAATCACAGAAAAATGGAATGTGATTTTTCATAGAAAAAAATAATTCTAAAAATTATGTCACCTCTCAAAAAAAAAAAGATTGGAATATAAAATACTTCTCACATTTCTATGTTAAAATACTAAAATTTTTTACCAATATAATTTTTTTGTTAAACGCGTAAATTTCTTGTGAAACATAAAAATAAAAAAAATGTATTATTTCGGACCAATTCATTAATCGCAACTACATATTCTATGGCATGGCAACACTGGGAACTGTCCCGCCAACCCCCGACTGGCGCCTCGAAACCATCCAGGGAATAAAATATTATTTATTCTTATCTGAATAATTGTTTTGACTGGCCCGTGCCGTCGAAGAGTTTTTGCATTCCCTTTTGTGTTTTGGAAATAAAATGGGTAAATTTTCACTAAGGCCTGATAGGAAAAGATTACGTTTATCTACTAAACGTAAAAATCGACGACTTGCTATGAAAAAAAGGTAGGTGAAATGGTAGAAGATAATTATTACATTACCTATATAGGTAGTCTAATTGTAATAATTTCCAGAATTTTTATTCAACTATTTTTTGTAGGAAAATTAGGTAATTTGCAGTTATTAGTTTCTTCTGAGGACGGAAATAATTTGGGTGTTGAATTTACTTTGTCTCAATGGTAAAATGATATTTTAAAATCATAAACAATAAAGTACCTAGGTAAATATTTTTTATAAATTTTCAGCACCAATAACAATAATGACAATGACAATAATATTACTGATGCTGGTCCATCAAATTCAAAAGAAAACTCAATGGAGATAAATTCTGCGGAATCCACAAGGTAAATTTACTTCGTCACAAAAATATCAGATTTTTTTATTTGAAAAACAACAAGCATTACATCGTTTCTCTTAGAGCTGGTTTATTCACCTTCTGAATCTCTAGTCCTATTGGTCGGCCGACCAATAGGATTATAGATTGGTAAATTTATACTGCAGATATAACCAGCAAGTGTGTCTAAAGCCAATTAAACGGAGCCTTAGGCAAAGATAATTTGTATTTTGTGTTTTATAAAAAAAATAATAATGCATATAAATAGGTATAGGACGAAAAGGTCGGTACCTACTTACCTAATACTTATTTTTCAATCGTGTATTATTTTTTAGCAATTTATCGGATTTATCAGAAACCATTGAAGATAGTCAAGATAGACCTACTGTAAACTTAAATAATTCGAGGTATGTTTATTACAGAGAAATTAGAAACAAATGTTGTTACTTAAAAAGACAAGCTTTACCTATCAATTGTTTCTTTTAGGGTCAAATTATGGACCAACTGGTTGTTACCTAGCAGGTACCTACTTTCTATTCTCTAGTGCATAAAAAGTACCTGCTAGGTAACAACCAGACGTTTACCAGTCAGTCCCTAATTAGGCCCTTAGGGACGCTTTATGTTCCTTTCAATAAACTGTCAAATAATGCAATCTTACGGATAAAACGCAATCTGAAATTCCACTGGTCGGCTAGTTATCCACCGACCAATAGCATTGTAGATTGGTTAATTTATCTTGCAGATAGTTACCAGCAAGTTTATCCGAAGATGAATTAACCGGGCCTTAGTCAAAGATAATTTGTATATGTATTATAAAGATATTTAATAATGTATATAAATATAGGACGAAAAGGTTCCTACTTAAGCTTATTTTTCATTTCTGTATAATTTTTTAGCAATTTATCGGATTTATCAAAAATTCAAGAAACTATTGAAGATGAACCCTCTGTAAACTTAGATAATTCGAGGTATGTTTCTACATAATAGCAAATTCAAAGGCTACTTATTTACAATTTTTACACAAACCATTTACAGGGTGTCCCAGAACTGGCACCACACCCATCAGATGCTTCTGTTCAGAGTCTTTCAGCAAAGACTGAACAAGGGGCTAATTTTTGTATTTTTGAAAAACCCCCAAAAAAGGAAATAATAAAATTTATTTTTTCCAAAAATATTAGGCATAAAAACCTTAGAGCAGTTAAGTTCTTTGGTGGAAGGAGTAAGAACATGGAGTTGGGAAATGAAGTCATTTTTTCCAGGTATTTTGAGATCCAAAATAATGACAGTATAGCTAATTCAATGCTTTACCTGTCATTTGGTGTACAAATACCTGCTAAAAACTGGCTTCACTTTAGTTTCATAGCAGAATGGCGCGTTCCTGCTCCTCATGTCCATAGGACAGCGCTTTACCTGCTCTAAGATAAAAACGGAAAACTTTGAATTGTACTTACATAATATGGACCTGACGCGCGCGGCACCAGTTAGGGGACTCCATAATATGTTTATTTGCGAAACATTATTATTTATCCTCAAATGAAATTTTAGTTATGTAGGAGCTGACGCAATTGGTGGAAAAAGAATATTTGATGTTGCCCATCTATTTCGCCAAATTCTAAATTCAGAGAGACACGCACTGTATGATTGCACTTTAGCTGATATGAAACTAGTTCGAGAAATAAGACATGAGGCGGAATTCTGTAACGAATAGAGATCGTTATCGATATCGCTATGGCACTTGCTGTCTTCTTCTCTCTTTTTGGAATCAATAAAGAGGGGACGTCAATAGAGATAGCGAAAATATCGCTATTCGTTACAGAATTCCAGCCATGGTCTACACAGTACATTTATCCTCGAGTGCAAAATGTGTTTATGTATTAGGCAAATCACTACTGATGAAAAGTCTGATACAATAAACTCGAATTCAGCTATGGTATTGGGTGCCATTTCAACTGGGATAGGATATTCGCAAATAAATGAGCTTGCAGCTTCTCTCAATATGCCTTTTATGACATCAAAAACCTTTAATCGTTATCATGAATCTGTAGGCGGATATATCAGAGAATCACTATGTACATGCATGGAAAATGCCGCAGCCAAAGAAGCTGAGTTAGCTCTAGAAGAAGGCGACGTAGATGAGAACGGTATTCCATGTATCACAGTCGTTACTGATGGCGCTTGGGCTAAACGCTCTTACAATGTAAATTATGATTCTATGTCTGGTGTGGTAAGTAATTTCTCTTGAGATATCTGTGAATATATATATATAATATATATATATTTTTTTTGTTGTTGATTTTTACGAACTTTTTTATCCTTTTTTATCGAGTGGAATATTTATTTTAGGCTTGTATAATAGGTTACAGAACGGGTAATCTTTTATTTCTTGGTATAAGAAATAAATATTGTTCATTATGTTCTTATTATGAAAATAAAGGGCAAGATATCCCTATACACAAATGTTACAAGAATTGGCAAGGAACATCAACATCTATGGAGACAGACATCATAGCAGAAGGTTTCAAAAACAGCATAAAACTGCATAAATTAAAATATACCAAAATGGTCGGAGATGGCGATTCCTCTGTATACAGAAAATTAATCCAAATAAAACCTTAAATTTTATTATAACATATTATCCAATCACTTTCCACAGGTAATAGTCCGTCATTTTATACAAAAAAATATGTAGGATTGAAGAAAAAAATAGCATTAAAAGTGACACAAAAAAAAATATTTAAAAAAAAAACAACAAAAAAAATTGGAGCGGGAACTGACAAAGATTATGGACCAAATGCAAATTATATCCCTTTAGACGTCAAAAGCCAAGAATATTTGGAAAAAGCTGAAGATTTTCTTAATAATCTTAAGAAAACTGCAGAGGAGATCCACTGCATAGAAAGAAACACGATCGGGCAGTCAGCCAACCCCTGCTGGATCCAAGAAAGGGCGGTTAGGATAACAGCTTCAAATTTTGGTAAAATTTGCAAGATGCGTCCACAAACATCAAGAGCAACCACAGTGAAAACTTTGCTATATGGAAACTTTCATGGTAATACAGCCACAAGATACGGCAACGATAGTGAAGCACGCGCTATTGCTGAATTTGAAGACAAATATAAAGTCAAAATTTCTCAATGTGGATTGTTTATAGATAAGAAAAATTATTATTTAGGGGCTAGTCCGGATGGATTAATTGGTGATACCCAATTAATGGAAGTAAAATGTCCATATTCCATCTGTAATATGAATCCAGCGGAAGCCATCAAAGAAAAAAAATTAGCATTTGCTGAATTCGTGGATAATGAATTTCACTTGAAACGGAATCATAACTATTACTACCAAATCCAGGGCCAACTGGCAATAGCTGATAAGCAGATGTGTTATTTTGTAGTTTGGAGTCCTCATGGGATGGTAGTAGAAGAGGTATCTTGCTATATTATCTTTTGTGGAACTTACTTATTTAAATAATTATTTTTTTATAGATTTTTTGAGACTTGCAATTCTGGAATGAAAAATGTATTCCTAAATTGAAATCCTTTTATGAAAATTTTGTTTTGCCCGAATTGATAGACCCCCTTTATCCAAAAGACCTGCCGATACGAGACGAAATTGTGTTCCGAGATGCTCTTCTTATTGACACCATATAACGGGGATAGATACCAAACTCATCCAATGCAAAGCATTTTTTTACAGACGTCAAAAAATGACAACATTTTCACACTCATTTCTGTGCGAAAAATCCCACAATGGTTTTATTGGAAATTGAACGACAAAGTTTATTGATGAACTAGCGTATACCCAGGGTGCGCTACTACCCTAAAAAAAGAATTGCATTTTGTTAATTTTTTTATAATTTTTTTCATTTACCAAATAAATTCTCCGCCCTTGGTTATTCTATAATTTGAATATGGCTACGGTGCGCCAATGAACTTTTGCATGAATATTTTGAGACAGAGCCAGCCGAGCGTCGCGGAGTCTCTGGCGAAGTGGCCGGCAGCTAGCGGTGTTGCCAAATTGTGTGTAAGTGTAACTCGTGAACTATAAAAGGCGCTGCGATCGAATCTCAATTACGCCAGAGGTACCCAGGCCTCTTAATGCTGAGCCTGACATTTTCTTCTGTCAGTTTAGGAAAGACGAAATTTCCCTCATAACAAATGTTTTCATCGACTGGTGTAGACTTCTGAAAAACTGAACTAAAGTATTGAGCAAAGGCATCTGCTATACACTGTGGTTCACTAAAACTAACATTGTTAAAATTCATTACATGAGGGATACAATTGTTTTTACTTTTCCCTTTGACATATGACCAAAAACTGCTAGGATCTAAATTTATGTTGTTTTCAATCTTTTGTTGATATGACCTAAATTCAGCTTTAGTCTGGTGTTTAATAGTACATCTTAGATTCCTGTATTCAGTGATTTGCAAATCTGTTGCATTCCCTGAATTACACAGTTTATGTAATTTGTTCTTTTTCCTAATGTCCCTAACTAATTCAACTGAGAAGTAGACTGGATACTTACGGCCACTACTTGCCTTGTCGAGCTTTTTAGGGATAGCTTGGTCTATACATTTATATAAAGTATCATAAAAAATCTCCAGACATTCATCACAATCAGATACACTGTATAAATTAGACCAATCTGTTGAGTTTAACAGGTGATAAAGCATGGGAAAATTGCCATTTGCGTAATCATAATAAAAGCTTTTCTTTATGTTATTTTCAACAGACTGGGTACCACTACCATGCAATATCATTAACATATTTAGTGCCGGGTGATACATATCTTTACTGACTAGAGGATTATCACATTCGAAAATATCTATAAAATTCATATTACTAAAAATAAGATCTAACAACCTTTCCTTACAGTTAAAAATAGTATTAATTTGTGTCAGACTATGTAACTCTAGGAACTGATAGATAAGGCAGGTTTTATCACAGGCTTTCATGGAAAAATTTGGCACGTTGAAGTCACCCATAAGAGTGAAATCTATATTGCCAGAAAGAAACGGCTCAAATGCATCAAACACACTCTCATATACACATAAATTACTGTTAGGTGGAATATATAAACAGGACAAATAAAAAATATTCTTCTTATACTTAATCTTTAAAAGCAGGCACTCTATACTTCTATCACATTCAATATCAATAACTTCTACTGCAAAATGTACCTTTGTAGCAATAAGTACTCCACCTCCCATCGACTTATCATTATTTCGGTCCTTTCTGAAGACACTGTATTCTCCATTGAATAACTCAGAGTTTTCGATCCCATTAGTTAGCCATGTTTCGGTTAACACAATTATGTCATAATCTTCAGTGAGCACACTTGCAAAAAAATCATGGGTTTTTGTACGAAGACCCCTTACATTCTGGTAGTAAAAACTTATCTGATGGTTTCTTCTGGAGGATCTGTCGGTTGCGTCAGCATCCTCTTGTTCCGGAAAAAATGAGAAACGAGCGCCCCACTGGGCCACACTTCTCTGTTCCAGGCTTTCTTTAATTCTTCACGTCTAATGGTAACTTTCATGGAGCTGTAAAGATCTGGATATTTAGACTCATGTTTTTCACACTGAATTTCAGTGAATTCAGTCTGAAGGATGGCTTGCAAGTCTTCCGGCTTGGTGGAAGGTGCCAAGCGTGTTATATGCAAAGATACATACTTGGGAACTGTTTTTATGGGATTATTCTCCTTACGTCCGATCATAAACCTGCGACGCCTTCTTCGTTGCACATTCTCCCAATTTTCATCATGCTGCAAATCTGGCTGCCCAAGCCGTATATATTCATTCATTCTGCGTGTCATTTGTGCCTGAATGATACCGGAATTAACTTGCTGCTCGCTAATTACTTGACCATTTTGACTATTTTTGTGATTTTGATTAGGTAAGAGCCAGTGAGGGCTGCCTTGTTTGTTTTGATTTAGATTTAGGTTAGTGTCATTTTTACCATTCGACCTAATGTTGGTAACACTGACTGTCGGAGCAGTTCCTCCAGCTGGAGCACTGGTTGATGGTGTGTTTTGTTTCCTATCGTTGGTAACATTTGTTTGAGTTCGCTGCGCCGCTCCCGCATACGTCAGCGATGCATCGAGGTTGCCAAATTTACCTTTGTTCTGGGCCTCATAAATTTCTACTTTTTCCTTTAAAAGCTTAATATTATCATATAACAGAACTTCCTTAGCTCGTAGTTCAGAAATAATTTCTTCTTTGCTCTTTAGGACTTCTTCTTTAGCCATTAAAACACTGTTTAAAGCTTCTCCAGATCTAACCTCACTTTCTTTGTGACAACATTTCACTAAATTATTCCTTCCAACCACCACCAATCCTGCCACCCTTAACGAACAGGAGGGATGAAATACTGCTGAACACAATACACATTTCACTATTGAACTAACAACATTATTTTTACAATATTTGCAACCTTTGTTTTCCGGATGATGACCAATAAAATGCCGTTTTGAAATTTTAAAAATTCCGAATACTTCCGAAGATATTTGGAAAAAACCAAAATTTTGCAAAATCATTTTTATTTTATTCTGAGTCTATTTGAAGAGCAATTTTAAAATAAATATCACTTCATCGTTGTCACTTTTTCCGCTTTACAAGATGTTGCTACCAAATTTCAGATTTGAAGTTTTGTCTTTGGGCCACCATCATCAACTTCAGTTTTTTAAATAAGGAACCCTATTTTCTATTTCAGATTTTAAGAGATTCTGACTTCCCAAAACCAATGAGGTATTGCCACTTATTCGAAAAATTTATATTATTGGCACTTTCCATAAGAACTTAATGTGTGTGAGAGAGAGACAGAGAAGAGAATTTTGGTAGGAAATTGCTAAAAAGTAATAAAAATATTTTCTCGAATAAATGCAATACATCATAGGTTTTGGGACATCAGAAACTCTTAAAATCCGAAATAAAAATCCAGGTCCCTATTTAGAAAAACGAAGTTGATGATGGCCGCCCAAAGACGAAACGTCGAATCTGAAATTTGGTAGCAACATCTTGTAAAGGGAAAAAAGTGACAATGATGAAGTGACATTTATTTTCAAATTGCTCTTCAAATAGACTTAGGAAAAAATAAAAATGATTTTGCAAAATTTCAGTTTTTTCCAAATATCTTCGGAATTTTTCAGATTTCAAAACGGCATTTTATTGGTCATAAAATTGCGCAACTTTGCCATAATTTAACTGACCTCGTATCTCTTATAGTTTGCGATATCTCAATGGTCACCTTCGAATTTTGGACACCCTGTACATATATATATTCCATTGCTTGGTATATACAAGGAAACATCTTGAAAAATATTGTAGTACATACATATGAAAGACTACATTCTTATTTTTACTTATTTGACAAATTCTATGAAGACAACTTCTTGGACATCTTGTAGCTGCACTTCTCAAATGTTAATATAAATAGTATAATATAAATACATAGTATACAGGTACCATGTTTGATAATGTATAGAATATGGTATTCTCTTGTTCCTAGGAAAATTGTTTTTAACTTCTCTTAGCTTTGTATATGAAGGAAAATAGGAAAAATTGAAATTTATTAGTATACTTAAATATTGTATCAAAATTCTTTTTTCCTTTTGACATATGTAAACACATGGATAAAGATTATGTTTATAGGAAATTGTGTATTTCATATTGTCTATTTATTTGGCTTTGTCAATAGGAATGTTATTTTTATGATAATAAGATATAATTTGAATTGATTTTTATTTGAATGAGTGTTTTTTCTTCCATTTGAATTAACTAAGTTGAAACTCACTGATTAGCAGTGGAATCAATTATTTACCTTTCACAGTAGAGTAGACTATAAGAAAATCAGCCTGAACAGGAATTTTATATGAAGTGGTCTCCCCATCAGTCTCAGTTCTGCTACCGTTAATGGTTAAATTAACACCGCCATCGAGTTTATCGCCTTGACATGCTTGCAGGAAAAACATTTTTGGTTTGCCTAAAATAAACAACAATTAATCGATGCCTTTTTACATTACAATAAACTAATTATTACCAGCTAAGCTTGGGCATCTATCTCCTGTAAACAACGACCAAAGATTTTCTGGCTTATATGGAGTGTCCTTTGCATAAATTATACCCATTTCTCCATGGGACAGCACAGTTATAAGCAAGCAATCGTGATTAGAATGGTCCATGGCAGCCACTAAAAATAGACCTCAATACTAAATCTGTTTCAATTAGTACAGAAACTCCTCACCTTGCCTCACTTGATATTCCAAATCCATATAGTTGAGATCCTTGAAAACTTGTACGTCGAACCCGAGGCCTGTGAGGCAGTCTTTCAAGTTTTTGCAGTCTTCGTTGGTGCCGGAACGCGATTTGAGGCCTCCGCATTCGAAATTTTCGTGGTTGAAAATCAGGGCTATGCCTCGCTTTTTGTGGTCCATTTTGTAGTAGGGCGAGTACTTGTAGGTGGGCATGCGGGCGAAGACTTCGCCAGGACGATTCCTAGAATGTATTGTTTATCGATGAGTTAATAATGAAAGAGAAGATATGTTTCTAATTTAGAAAAAGTAATCATTTCATTTACCAAGTTTAATAATAATTCACTAATTATTTAGAATTTGGTTGAAATATTAAACTTATTAAACTTACACAGATATACATATTACATTGAATAAAAAAATAACTGTTTCTTAAATTTGAATACAAATTTGAACAGAACATTTTAATGCCTTATCCTCCTTCAACAAACAGACCTTTTTTTGTAATTTTTTTTTATTTTTATTTTTCTTCACCCATTTTTCTTTTCTTTTTTTTTCCCACAAGTATAATGTTTTTCTTCTATAATTCTCCACTTTATTTCTCGTTTTTTTTTCTTTTTATAATTTTTCATGTGTTTATCTCAGGAACTGTTGAGAAATTATTCGAAATATTGGGAGATTATTCAAAATTATAGAAAACTTACTGAAATTACTATAAGAAATTAGGAAATTTTCACCAGAAATCTTGAAAATTTTTGTGTTTCCAATATTGTTTAGTTCCTGCTCGGTGTTTTGTGAATACAAATACCTAACTGCTAACAAAATAAAGGTACAGATCATTTCATGAGAGTTCATACTTTTGACATCAAACAAGTCATAAATTGAAAAAAAAGGGTTGTCATAGTATAATTCAGACACATTCAATTTTTTTGACAAATTAAAATAAATGACTTCTGGTTCAAGAACCGACGAACGTTTTTGACGTCATTGATTTGTTTCAGGTTTCAGTCAATTTCTATTTGTTAAAAAAGGAAGACAAAAAGTATGAACCCTCGTGCAACAATGTTAATGTATAAACCAAGGTATAAATACATCTCATAAACTATAGAAGTCAAGCTTCATGTTGTTATTTTCTACTGGAAAAAATATAAAATTATGGTTTAATGAGCTTCTAACTTTCCTCTTTAAATGTAGAAAGTTTCAAATTTTTCCCTTTACTAGTTTTCCAGAAAAACTGTGAAATGTGTGAGACTGTATTCTCAATTAATTCAGTTATTTTTTAGTTGATTTTCAATATCTGGCATGTTGTTATTTTCCACTGGAAAAATTTGAAATTTTGGAAATATGAGCTCCTAACTTTCCTTTTCACATGCAAAAAGTTTCACAATTTTGCCTCTATTGGTTTTCCAGGAAAATTTTGAAATATGTAAGATTGTATTTTCAAATAATTCAGTTATTTTAACTTTTAAGTTAATTTTCAAGATTTTTCATGTTGTTACTTTCCACTAGAAAAATTTGAAATTTTGGCAAAATGACTCGGAAAATGAGCTCCTTACCTTCCTCTTCATATGCAAAAAGTTTCAAATTTTCACCTTTACTAGTTTTCCAGGAAATTTTTGAATTGTGTGAGACTGTCTTTCAAATAATTCAGTTTTTGTAGGCTGTTTTCCAAGATTCGCAATGTTGTTATTTTCCAATGAAAAAATTTGAAGAAATTTTGGGAAAATGATCTCCTAGTTTTTTTCTTCACATGCAAAAAGTTTCAAAGTTTTCCCTTCACTAGTTTTCCAGGAAAACTTTGATATGTGTGAGACTGTATTTTCAAATAATTCAGTTTTTGTAGGCTGATTTCCGAAATTCTTCATGTTGTTATTTTCCACTGGAAAAAATTGAAATTATGGGAAAATGAGCTCCTAACCTTCCTCTTTACATCCAAAAAATTTCAACATTTTTTTTCAATTAGTTTTCCAGGAGAACTTTCAAATGTGTGAAATTGTATTTTCGATTAATTCACTTTTTCTAAGTTGATTTCCAAGATTTTTCATGTTGTTATTTTTCCCTGGAAAAATTTGAAATTTTGGTAAAATGACCTCCTAGCCTTCCGTTCACATGCAAAAAGTTTCAATTTTATCCTCAATTAGTTTTCCAAGAAAACTTTGAATTGTGTGAGACTGTATTTTCCAAGGGGCAAACCACCTAGGAATTCGAGGGGGAATCCACCTACTTAATTTTGTACACCAAAAATTCTAAAATTCTGAAAAATGCTAATTTTCATGTTATTATTGTTCCAAAAAATTCTAAAAAATTCTAAAAAATCCCAACAAATTGGGCAGGCTCTTGAGCATGCGCAATGGATAAAAACTCTAAATTATTTCTAAAAAATTCTAGTTCAATTCTAAAAAATACTGAATAATTCTAGAAATTGCTAGAAAATACTAAAAAATGCAAAAAAATACTGATAATTCTGAAAAATTCTAAGAAATTCAAAAAATTCTATCAATTTGTACAGGGTGATCTATTATAAATGTCGACCCCGCTTACTTTATTATTTGACGTTTTTGACAGAAGTGTCAACTGTCAAATACAAAAGTTTTATGGCTGTTTGCACCGACCCATTTTAAGGGAGGTTTAAGACATTTTTACATGTAAAAACGTCACTTTAAACGTTGATTATCGTTAAACCTCGGTTAAAATGATCGGTACAAACGGTTATTAAGAAATTATCAAAAATCTTTAACTAAGTTAGTTTTAGACATACATCAGGATGCGTCAAAAAAGTGCAGCAGTGTGAAGTTATATTTTTTTAAATGGAACACCCTGTATATTGTGCGCTTATTTGTTAGTCCCCTTACCAGTTCCAGGACCATACCAGATTATATGATTTCAACGATATACGGTTTGATATGTTTATTTCTCTGTTTAATTTCAATAGTTATAGGGAAAAACGCGAAAATCCCTTGCTAGTTCTCTCATGTTATTTTTTCAAAGATAATAATAATAACTGGATTTATTATAATATTTCACCTTGTATATTAATGAATAAAATTTGAACAATAAACTGTTCATAAAAAAAATTCTCTAAAGCTTAAATGGTATAATTTTTCTTTTTCCAATATCAAACCATGTTTTTTCCTATAAATATCGAAGATAGACATCAAATCGTATATCGTTGAAAACAGGTTAAAAGGAACTAACAAATAAGCGCACAATATGCAGGGTGTTCCATTTAAAAGAATATAACTTCACACTGCTACACTTTTTTGACACACCCTGTACGTCTAAAACTGACTTATGGCGTTTCCGATTGGTAGATTCAGTGCGCACTGAGTGTATTTGCATCCTTTTAATCAACTTGTAGAAGAAAAAGACAGGAATAGAAAAAATTACACTAGTTCCGCACTAGATCTACCAATCGGAAACGCCATTAGTTAAAAACTTTCGACAATTTATTGAAACTTTTGTATTTGACACTTTCGTCAAAAATGTCAAATGAAAAAGTTAGAAGGGAGTGACATTTATAATAGATCACCCTGTACACCAAAATTCTAAGGTTTCCCGCTAGGAGGAACCCTCCTACCTAGTTTTTTACACCAAAAATTCTAAAATTCTGAAAAATGCTAATTCTCGAAAAATTCTAAAAATTCAAAAAAATTTCCAAAAATTCCAACAGATTGCGCAGTGCGCAGGCTCTTGAGCATGCGCAATAGGTGAAAATTCTAAATTATTTCTAAAAAATTCTAATTCAATTCTAAACAATAGTAAAAAATTCTAAATAATTCTAGAAAATGCTAGAAAATACTAAAAAATGCTAAAAAATACTGATAATTCTAAAAAATTCTATTAATTTGTACACCAAAATTCTAAGGTGGTTTCCCCCTAATAGGAATTCTTTGCCAAATATGTGGGGAATTGAGGTATAGGGAATTCGAAGAAAGAAGGAGGCACGATTTACATTGAAAATAGGCCCCCATAAAATTCAACCAAATTTCAATATTTTAGAGGTACATATCATCATTGCAAAAAAAAATTTGAAATGTAAAAAGGATCGTATGTCTGTGATAGCAGAGATAGCTTGTCAAAGTACGTAGGTCCTGATATGGTATGCATAGGAAATATCCTAGGAAATATTTCTACGTAGACTTTCTTGAATATCTCGAAAAATACTAATCCGATTTTGACGTTTTTGGAATTTGATACCTACAAAAGGACCCCAAAACCGTCAAAATTGGATTAGTATTTTTCAAAATATTCAAGAAAATCTACGTAGAAATATTTCCTCGGATATTTCCTATATGCATAGCATAGCAGGACCTACGTACTTTGACAAGCTATATCTGCTATCACAGACATACGATCCTCTTTACATTTCAATTTTTTTTTGGCAATGATGATACCTTTAAAATATTGAAATTTGGGTGAAATTTACGGGGGCCTATTTTCAATGTAAATCGTGCCTCCTTCTTTATGGGAAATTTGGAGTTATTTTCAGTAAATTTGGAGGAATTTGTGAGAAAGGACCCTGTCCAAAGTATACGGAAATTGTGTTTATGTCAGAATCGGCTGAATTTTGTATATAATGTAGATCACGCCTTTCTGATTAAAAGTTACCATTGCACCGATCCTGAAAAATGACTCCTTTTTGAGAAAATTACGCGCCACAAGCTTACCTTTTAACGCTACATTGAGCGTTCATTATAATTTCCCAGCGTTCTACTTGCCACCTATGATATTATTTTTTTCAAAAAGGAGTCATTTTTCAGGATTGGTGCAATGGTAACTTTTAATCAGAAAGGCGTGATCTACATTATATACAAAATTCAGCCAATTCTGACATAAACACAATTTCCGTATACTTTGGGCAGGGTCCTTTATGAGGAATTTCAAGGAAATTGTAGGGTCATGACGTCAGTAAGATTCACATTCTTATTATAAGAAGCACTAATAATTGGAATTTTTTTTAAAAATCTTGTTTTATGTTGGACGTTGGACATTCATTTTTATCAAAGAAATTCTCCCAAAATTTCACTTCATGATTTACAAGTCCAAATTTAAAAGAATAATCAGTTTAATATTTATGTTAATGTTTGAAAATTTTAACAACTGTCAAGGAAAAACCTTCTGGAATTGGATCCACTTAGACTTGAATGGATTTGAATGCTACATTCAAGATACTTTTCATATTGGGGCCAAGTTAGAAAATCGCCTATTGAGAAAAAAATTATTGGTCATTAGACAATGGAGATTACATAATTTCAGTAGATCATTTCAATATGGTAATTGGAAAACACCGAGGAAAACACGAGGGAAAACATAATAAAAGTGAACATTTATTAGTTAGTTCTGATATTGTTCCAGTAGATAGAATGAACTTTTCCAAAAAAGGTACAAAATCTCCTTAAAAATGACCCTGAGTGCAAAGGAACTTCAAGCTACTTGAAGTTGATATAGAAAAAAAGCTGAACATTAAAAAAATGGTTTACTTATTTTCAAATTATTGAAAAGGGAATGAGACACATTCATATGGCCTACTTAGCCTATGCTGAGGTTCAGATCAGATTCAATTTATAATAAAAAGAAATAATATACTCTCAATATTGTGGAACAATATACACACCTAAGTTATTTGAAAAGTAACTACATGTATATTATACTTGGTATTTATACAGTATTATATTTGTTTTTGTTTTACCCTGTATTCTAGATTACCGGAAACCAATCATTAGTTTTAGCTCTAAAGTTAACTAACCTAACCTTGCATTTGATCCTACTTGATAAACTGCTCTTATGTTTTAACACTAAGGGCCGGTTTATTCACTTTCTGATAAACCGTCAGCTAATCCAATCTGACGGATAAAATGCAATTTGTAATCCCATTGGTTGGCTAGTTATTCCTTGAAAAATAGGATTATGAAATGGGTAAACTTATCTTATAGACAATTACCAGCAAGTTTATCTAAAGATGAATAAAACAAGCCTAAGTAAAATAAAAATTTCAAAAAATAAACTTATCACGAGCAATTATGAGGATTTTCAGCTATAAACACTAAAATACTTATGTTTTTTCCTGTCTTTAAATTTTAAGTTGTTTTCTGGAAATATAATGTATTTTCTACCTTTATAAACAACGTCTTGCTTCACCCATACCTTCAAATTCAGGTTCGTACAATATTAATAAAAACTAAATTTTTGCTGTAAAATATTGAATTATGGTCAAGCGGTCATATAAAAATATAACTTCCAACTGTTATCACAAACAGTTCCACGGTCACTCCAAACTTTGCAAAATCATTTATTGGGGTTTCAAATATAGAATCGAGTATATAATTTCATCATGTACAATTTAATTAGAGAAAATACCATTTCTAATCCATTTGATGCCCTCTAGATTGACAATTGAAGAGTAAAACAGTTGAAGGTCTACTTTCAAAGAGTCAGTCTGAAATACCTCGGCTTACCGCGCAATACTTTGAATTACCACGAAATACTTCGAATTACCTCGAAATACTTTGAATTACCTCCAAATACTTCGAAGTTCGGCAATACCACAAAACACTAGGTTCGAATTACCACCACCGAAATACTTTGAATTTTGTGAAATACTTACGAAATACCGACATTTTCCCAGAGTAGTTGACCCCTTGGTTATTTTCCACAGGAGAAATTTGAAATTTTGGGAAAATGAGCTTTTAACTTTCCTCTTTACATGCAAAAAAATTCAAAATTTGCCCTTCAATAGTTTTCCAGGAAAATTTTGAAATGTGTGAGACTATATTTTCAATTACTTAACTCAGTTTTTGTAGGTTGATTTCAAAGATTCTTCTTGTGTTAGTTTTCAGTGGAAAAATTTGAAGTTTTGGGAAAATGAGGTTCTAACCTTCCTCTTCACATGTAAAAAGGTTTAAATGTTTCCCTTCACTAATTTTTGCAGTAAAACTTTAAAATGTATGAGACAATATTATTAACTAATTCAGTTTTTGACAGGTTGATTTCTAAGAATCATGTTGTTATTTTCCACTCGAAAAATTTGACATTTTGAGAAAATGAGCTTCTCACCTTCCTCTTTACATGCAAAAAGTTTTAAAATTTTCCCTCAATTAGTTTTCCAGGAAAACTTTGGATTGTGTGAGACTGTATTAACAATTATTTCAGTTTTTGTAAGTTGATTTCCATGATTTTTCATGTTGTTATTTTCCAATGGAAAAATTTGAAATTTTGGGAAAATGAGCTTCTCACCTTTCTTTTTACATGCAAAAAGTTTCAAATTTTTCCCTTCATTAGTATTCCACGAAAAAGTTGAAATGTATGAGACTGTATTTTCAATTAGTTCAGATTTTATAAGTTGAATTCCAAGATTCTTCATGATGCTATTTTCTACTGGAAAAAATTGAAATTTCGGGAAAATTAGTCTCTAACCTTCCTCTTTACATGCAAAAAGTTTCAAATTTCCCCATTCACTAGTTTTCCAGGAAAACTTTGAAATGCATGAGACTGTATGTTCAATTAATTCAGTTTTTGTAGGTTGATTTCAAAGATTCTTCTTGTGTTATTTTCCACTGGAAAAATTTGAAATTTTGGAAAAATGAGCTTCTCACCTTCCTCTTTAAATGCAAAAAGTTTCAAAATTTTCCCCTAATTAGTTTTCCAGGAAAACTTTGAATTGTGTGAGACTGTATTAGCAATTATTTCAGTATTTGTAAGTTAAATTCCATGATTTTTCATGTTGTTATTTTTCAACGGAAAAATTTGAAATTATGGGAAAATGAGCCTCAAACCTTCGTTTTCACATGCAAAAAGTTTCAAATGTTTTCGTTCAATAGTTTTCCAGGAAAACTTTGAATTGTGTGAGACAGTATTTTTAATTAATTCAGTTATCGTAAGTTGATTTCCAAGATTCTTTATGTTGTTATTTTCCACTGGAAAAATTTGAAATTTTGAGAAAATGAGTCTCTAACCTTCCTCTTCACAGTCTTCACATGCAAAAAGTTTGAAATTTTTCCCTTCTCTAGTATTCCAGGAAAACTCTGAAATGTGTGAGACTGTATTTTCAATTAGTTCAGTTTTTGTAGGTTGATTTCCAAGATTCTTCATGTTGCTATTTTCCACTGGAAAAAATTGAAATTTCAGAAAAATGAGCCTCTTACCTTCCTTTTACATACAAAAAGTTTCAAATTTTTTACCTTCACTAGTTTTCCAGGAAAACTTTGAAATGTATGGGACTGTATTTTCAATTAATTCAGTTATTGTAAGTTGATTTCCAAGATTCCTCATGTTGTTATTTTCTACTGGAAAAATTTGAATTGAATTGAATAATTGAAAAACATAATAAAAATGAACATTTATTAGTTAATTCTGACATTGTTCCAGAAGATCGGATAAATTTTAAAAGTGCATTGATGGATTATGATTTCAAGAAGTACAAAATCTCCGGGAAAATCTCCTTAAAAATGACCCTGAGTGCAAAGGAACTTGAAGCTACTTGAAGTTGATACAAGTTTATCTGTATCCAAATCTGAGTATGTATCCCAGCATCATATTATGGATAAAAAGGTGAACGTTGAAAAAAGGGTTAACTTATTTCCAAATTATTGAAAAAAAAAATCCTTTTTGCCTACTCAGCCTGACTGTGCTAAGGTTCAGATCAAATTTATTAATTATGGTCTTGTAAACAGGGTTGGCATAGAATTTTCCCAGGTTATAAAACCCAGTGGGGTTTTTTCAATTGATAAATCCAGCCATTATTGGGTTTTTTGGGGTTTTTCAAAATTTTCAGTTGAACGAACGTCATTTTCACAGGAAATATCAGGAATTCCCCTATGATTTCCCAGTCCCCGGCTGTTCGCTGTTGGCGTGGAAGTCTGAGCAGGGACTGCCATGTAGAATTCAAAATATTGAATGTGCCGAGTCTATAGAATCCTGTCGTTATGTTGAATTCTACATGACACCGAGTCCCTGGGCTGGCCAGCCAGAGGCATGGTGCAGTGCGCTGATGGCAAGTGTAATTATTTATAGCATTGTTTATATCAAGTGGCTTGCTTAATTTGTAAGGATATTTTATTTTAGCAACCAGTCATAATTTTTGTAATACTTTTGCTAGAGCAGAAACCAAGGCAGAAACTATAAATAAAATTTGAAGAAAAAAAACGAAAACCTCCGGGATGCCCAAAAAAACCGAAAAAAACCCGACGGGTTAAACTTTTTCAAAAAAACCAGGGTTTTTTCCAACCCTGCTTGTTAACCTGTTCAACTTTTAGAAAAACAATATACATATGTACGTACATAAGTTGTTTAAAAAGTAGTGTATTATTCTTGATGGTATTATACAGTATGTATTATATTCAGGGTTGGCAAATATCATGATATTTATATAAATATCCAATTATCCGATATATATCGATATATATCGGATATATATCAAAATTTGGATATTTATTTATATTTTTAATTACTTAAATTAGTTCATCTGTTTTCTATATTATTGAAATTTAATATAAATTTATGGTAAATTCAATAAAATGTTACAAACATGTAAAGTTGGTATGGCGGTAACAAGTTTTAGTGCTCCTATCTCCTATACATATGTGTAGGAACGTAAAGTGTAGTAGGTAAATAAAAATTCGAGTTTAAGAATATGAAAACATTTATGTCATCAATACTACTTATGTTTGCCTTAAGCTGCGGTTCAACGACAAAAAAAAAAATGACAACTTTGAACTCAACAACAAAAAGAAAACTAGAACTTAGGGCGGGTATTAGAAAACTATTTTGACAGAATAACTAGAAGTTAACTTCTGGAATGACGGTATTTCTCATAGTAATTCCAGAAGTTAACATTTAGTTATCTGTCAAAATAGTTTCATAATATTTCTATATAATTATACCCTAGAAAACCTAATATTTCTTATACACAAATAAAAATAAATAAAATAATAATTGATAATTGACGTAATATAGACTGTTTTGGCCGAGAACCCTGTGATTTCCTTCTCATAAATATACTACTACGGCTGTACAACTTCTCAACATAAAATAATAAAACTATAAAATAAGAAAAGAAGGCCATACAAATAAAATTGATATATATCATGATATTTATAGCATAAATATCATGATATTTATCGTTGATATAATATATCCTGCCAACCCTGATTATATTTGTTTTAATCTCCTAAAAAGGTTTTTCGTATCAATTAGGTAATAATATCAAATGCGGGTTCAGGTTGGTTTAAACCCCTGCATTCTAGATTACTGAAAACCAATCATTAGTACTGTTATGAGTAGCTTAACAAAGACACCACCTGATGACGAGTTAGTCAGTCAGTCGGTCAGTTAGTCAGTCAACTCATGTTGTAATTTCATGCTTTAAATATACAGTTTTACCTAATTATTTATTGCATTACTTAGTCCGAACCCATATACAACATGGTGTCAGGTGTGATGACTCAAATAGTGCCCTAGTTTGCACATGAAAAAGTGCCCTAGTTTGCACAGAAAAAGAGTGCCCTCGATAACACAGAAAAAAGTGAAGCAGTGCTTTAGTTTGCACATGAAAAGACTGCCCTCGATTGCAAAAGCTCCCTTTTCCCTTTGGTTCCTAGTTTGTACCCCAAAATGTGTTAAGCAGATACATAGAAAGCCAACCTCCTCGTGAAAACGCCTGTTAGTAAATAAAAATTAGCTTCACTACAAAACCACCAGGCCCCCTCACTGAAAACAATTTTAAGTGTTGGAAACTCTATAAACAAAAGTTTGAAAATTTTTCGAAAGCCTCTGGAAAAAATAATGAACCAGAAGATATAAAAATTGCTATTTTGCTAAGTGATATTGGGGATTATGGTCTGGATTTATTTAATACGTTCACAACTGACCAGCAAAGCACTCTTAATAAACTATTGGAGGCCTATGATGCTCACTTTCAGCCAAAATGTTGCATCCCCATGGAAGCATTTAGGTTCAATAACTTGCATCAAAAAGAGGATCAAACCATTGAAAGTTTTGTAACTGAGCTGAGAAATCTGGCAAAAAGTTGCGATTTTCTATGCAAGAATCAAAATTGCAACGAACCTTACTCAGAACGAATGGTGAGAGACAGATTGGTTGTTGGCCTATGTGATAAACAATTACAAGCCAGATTGATCCGGGAGCCAGACCTAAACACTGAAAAGATCCTGGACTATTGCAAGTCAGTGGCTCACAGCAAGGAACACCTAAAAACGCTTAGCCCTGAGGAAGAAGTTAATTTAATCCAAAAAAATTATAGAAAAATTAAATGCGCTAAATGTCTCTATGAACATTTTCCAAACCAATGTCCAGCATTTCGTAAGACCTGTGCTGCATGCCAGGAAATTGACCATTTTGCAAAAGCATGCAAAGCTTTGAAAGGTGAAGAAGATCCTCACAATTTTGTTGAAAAAAGTGGTTATACAATGAAGAAAAAGCTCGAGAAAAAGGTACGAGAAGTCAAATATGAAGAAGCATCTGACTCTGATGGCGAGGATATCCAAGATGACATGTTATTTATAAATGAATGCTGTACTAAAAATGGAAAACGAGAATGGTCTGAGGTATTTTGTGTCGAAGATACAGAGGTAAAATTTAAACTTGACACAGGAGCGGACTGTAGTATTTTACCCATTAACACCTATTTAAGAATCTCTTGTTCTGAACCAATGACACAGACAAATGTTAACCTATTGTCTTACTGTAATTTTAGGTTAAAACCTGTAGGTCTTATTACTTTAAAATGTTACTACAAGAATATGTGTCATGATGTTAAGTTTGTAATAGTAGATTCTAATACTCAACCTCTTCTTGGTCTCGAAGATTGTCTCAAGTTTGGGTTATTTTCCCGAATTAATAGAGTTGGAATTTTACCAAAAACCAGAGAGCAAATTTATAAGTCATTTCAGAAAGTTTTTGAAGGTACAGGAAAAATTCCTGGGCTCTGCTCTATTAAGCTGACAGAAAATGCAAAACCTGTTATACAAGCCCAGCGTAAAATACCATTGTCATTGCACAAAAAATTAAAAGAAACTTTAGATACTCTTCAAAGCAAGAATATAATTCAAAAAGTTGAATATCCGACCCAATGGGTAAATAGTCTTCTATTAGTTGAAAAGCCAGATAAATCTTTAAGGTTGTGCATTGATCCGAAACCATTAAACAAATTTATTTGTAGGAAACATTTTGTTATACCGACAACTAACGATATTATTTGCAGGTTGACAGGCAAATCAGTCTTTAGTGTTATTGACATGAAAGATGGATTTTGGCAGTTGCAACTGGATGGTAAAAGTGCAGATCTTTGCGTTTTTAACACGCCTTTTGGAAGGTATCGCTTTAACAGGGTCCCTTTTGGAATTTCAAGTGCTCCAGAAATATTCCAACGTAAAAATTTTGAAATCTTTGGTGATATTCCTGGAGTATCAAATCAAATCAAATCATTTATTGGTGCATTACTTCACAAAGTTTACACAAGTCAAATATATAGTAGTGGCAAATTTTCAGGAACCTTTACGAACAATATTACTAACTAACAATCCTCTAAATCATTAAAATTATTGGTGGTATATTCCTCTATACTAAAAAAAGCTTTCTTGATTAAATAATTTTTAATTTTATTTTTGAAACAATTCAAATTTAGCATTCTAATGGAGGTTGGTAACACATTATAGAATTTGGGGCCATAGAAGGAAATTCCCGTTTTTATTTTATGAATTCTATGAAAGTTTGTATAGAGGTTGTCCCTATTCCTGGTGAGATGTTGGTGTATGTCCTCATGGGTCTGGTAATCATTGACATTACACCTAACATGAATCAGACAATGATAGACATATAAGGAAGGCACTGTTAATACCTTTGATTTCACAAAGTCATTCCTACACTCCGCTCGATAAGTTCTATGACACAATATTCGAATCGCCCTCCTCTGAAGTGCAAAGACTCTTTGCGCTTCTGCTGCATGTCCCCAGACCAGAATTCCATATGATATTTTTGACTGGACACAAGCAAAAAAGATGGCCCGTGCTGCTTGCTCGGAAACACTCTCCATTATTGTTCTGAGTGCATAGACTCCTGACGCCACTTTGGCACATATGTTATTGACATGTGGAATCCATGTCAACTTTGCGTCAATACTCACCCCCAGGAACGTAACTGGCTCATTATGTAGCAATTCAAATTCCCTCCTGGATATTACTAGGGTGCTATTTTTTGATTCATTCATACTCAATAGAAATATATTTTGATGACCTTATTATTTCAGGGGTTGATGAGGCAAGTCATGATAAAACCCTTAAAGAGGTTCTTCATAGAGCACTCAAAAATAATGTAAAGTTTAATTTTAAAAAATTTCAGTATAAACTGGACAAGGTTAAGTTTTTGGGACAAGTAATTTCAAAGGACAGTGTGAAGCCAGATTAACATTAAAGCTATTGAAGCCATCGATTCACCTATAAATAAATCGGAAGTTTTGAGAATTTTAGGGCTTTTAAAATTTTTTGCTAGGTTTATACCCAATCTTTCCCAACTAACTACAAATATGCGCAATTTGACAAAAAATAATGTGGCATTTGAATGGACAGAGGCACATGAAAAAGAACTTCAAAATCTAAAATATATCGTATCCCAAGAACCGGTTCTCAAAATTTTTGATCCAAATATTCCAATACGTGTTCAATGTGATGCGTCCAGTGAAGCATTTGGTTGTTGTTTACTTCAAAATGATCACCCAATTGTTTACGCTTCGAGATGCCTTACCAAATCTGAAAGAAAATGGGCTCAAATAGAAAAAGAACTGGGGTCAATTGTGTTTGCTTGTGAAAAGCTGCATTATTTTATCTATGGATTTCAAATCGAAATTCAGACAGATCACAAGCCCCTAATTTCAATCTACAATAAGGATATCGAGAAAGTATCTGCGAGACTCCAACGAATGCTGTTGAAATTGCTCAAGTATAATATAAAAATTACATATTTACCTGGCAGAGATATGGTTATCGCAGACACTTTGTCTAGGGCATATATTAAAGATGACGTACAAGATGACCCTGAAATGGCTTATATTGTGCACACTTTATCCAATGACATTTCTATGTCCGAAGAAAAAAAGCATACCTTCAGAAAGAAAATCGAGTTAGATCCTATCTTATCAAAAGTGAAGCAATATTGTCAAACTTTTTGGCCTAAAAAAGACAAAAATTTACCCTTAGAAATGAAACAGTACTTTAAAATTAAGAACAATATTTATTTATCAAATAATTTGCTATTTTTTGATAATAAAATAATAGTTCCAGAGTCGCTTAAATCTGACATGCTTCAACAAATTCATAAGACACATTTTGGCATTTCAAAATCCAAATTGAGAGCGCGTCAACTCCTTTATTGGCCCGGCATATCTAAAGATATTGAAGATTATGTTCAAAATTGTGAAACATATCAGTTAAATCAGAAGTCCCAACAAAAGGAGACGTTAATTCCACATGATCCACCTTCCAGACCATGGCAGTTTGTTCATTCCGATTTTTTTGAATTTAAGGGGAAAAACTATCTTGTATTGGTTGACGCCTTTTCTAATTGGATTGAAGTAACCCCTACAAAAACAAAAACTGCTCGGGAATTAATACAAGTTTGCAAAAATAAATTTCAACAGTTCGGAATGCCTGAAAATTTTTTTGCGGATAATAATCCATATAATTCCTTCGAATTTAAGTCATTTGCAAAAGAATGGAATTTTGAGTTAGGCTTTAGCAGTCCTAATTACCATCAGTCCAATGGGCTGTCGGAAAGATATGTGGGTATTGTTAAAAGTATGCTCCAAAAGTATGAAAAAGAGTCTGACGTGCCTCTTCTGGTACTGGAATACAACAATACTCCAATTCCTTCTTTAAAAAATTATTCTCCAAGTCAAATATTCTTAAATCGAACCACAAAAACCCAGATTCCAGTTTCTGCAAAAGCATTAAAACCCATCTTGATTGACAGTGATGAAATAAAAGAATTAATATTAAAGAAACAAGAAAGTGAAAAATGTTTTTATGATAAAAATGCAAAAGATTTACCTGGTTTATTTGTCGATGAGACGATTTTAATTCAGCTGGAAAATGGATGGAAGAAAGGAAAAGTAATAGAGAAGGTTAACGATAGATCCTATATTGTAATGGACGAATACGGAAAAAGATACAGAAGGAACCGAAGGTATTTAAGACAAACAAAACTTAACTTTGAATGCAAGGAAAATAATTTCAATTTATTGTATGACTTTGGATATAATTTTGGCATCAACCAGTCTCAGCCACCTTCTGTTTCTTCTGTCCAACCGCCCTCAACTGCTGCTGTTCAACCGCCTTCTACTTCGCCTTTCGTTAGTCAAACTTCTGAACAGCATCCAGATACATTTGAATTAAATGACTCTTCAGCTATCCTTGAGAGAAGTGAGGATGGTGAAGATATGACAAAGAGAGTTCCTAAACGGCCTTCATGGCAGAAAGATTATGTTCTGTAGTTTGTTTTAGCTTTTAGGATTTTCTATTATTGACATTAACGTAATTTTTATATTTTGGATCCGTTTTTTGTATTTTTTTTTAAGGGAGAGCATGTTATGAGTAGCTTAACAAAGACACCACCTGATGACGAGTTAGTCAGTCAGTCAGTCAGTCAGTCAGTTAGTCAGTCAACTCATGTTGTAATTTCATGCTTTAAATATACAGTTTTACCTAATTATTTATTGCATTACTTAGTCCGAACCCATATACAACAAGTACTAGCTCTAAAGTCAACTAACTTAACCTTGCATTTAATCCTACTTTCAATACTACTTGATAAACTGCTCTTGTATTTTAATTGAGCGAAATAAAAATAGAAAAAATAAATTTCTTATCACAAACAGTTATGGGGATTTTCAGGGAATTTGTAAGAGACATTTGTGATAAATTTGAGAGGAGTTTGGAAGAATTTGCGGGAATTTGCAGGGATTTTAGAGGAGTTTGTTGGCGGGTATTTGAAGAAAATTGTGGTGGGGTATTTGGAAAAATTTGTGATGGGGTATCTGGAGGAATTTGTGGGGAATTATGCATAAAAAATTTCCCCTTGAGGTTGAGAAATTGTTTGCACAAATTCTGGGATGGTGGTTTACCCCTTGATTGAAACCTTAGTTTAGTTTAGTTTAGTTTGTATATAAAACACAGCTGTTAAAAGGGTTCATCCACCTGTATTTAATTGTTTCAATAAATAAATAAGTAAAATTTTAATTAATTTGGAACCGGAACTCTACTTATTGGTGATGATTATTTTGGACAAGTATAGACTAGTTGCTCCTCTTTTTCTTTCTAAGTATGTTTTGATGTACCAAGACTACGAAGTAAAGAAAATGCATTTTTTATGATTTGAAAATAAAGAATTTATTATTAGGTCTGTTTCTGCAGAAATCATAAACCAGTCAGAGCGAATTTCATTGGTTGAAAACAGTCAGAAAACTAGTTTCAACCAATGAAATTCACTCTGATTAGTTTGTGATTTCTGCAGAAACAGACCTATTATCATTTTTATTATTATTATTATGACTTTTTATCTAGGACTGCAAGTCTTGAAGAAGGTTTTTCTCCTTGGTTTTCTTGTATTTTGAATGATGACATTTGCATTGACTACCTGTTGTCTTTGTCATTGAAACATGCTTTTGCAAGATTTTAAGCGCTTGTTTACAAAACATGTTGCAGTAGAATGAAGCACCAAGCACCTGAGACTTTGCCATTCCATTAGTATTATTGTAGAATAAACTACTTAAAACGCACATCTGGCTGTATCTTTATAAGTGAAAACCTTCTCTCATTGTGTAATTGACAAAACAAATTTTCTAGATGATTCTTACCCAGGTCTGCCCAAAGCATCTCCTTCGTCTTGATGGCCAGCATCATTTCCATTCACCATGCTGACGCACAGCCCGTCTTCAGCATCGTGAAATATTTCAGCACCGTTTTTTCCATTTCCCACCTCGTCTTCCCCATTATTTTCCATTGTTGTGGCCGCGATCAACAAACAAAGGGGGCTTTGAACTCACGAATTAACACACACACAGAAACGGGCAAAAAAAAAATAACGCTGACTCTGACAATACGCCACAAGAAATGAAGAAATGGTGGAAAAACAAAACTCGTTTTTCTCTTTCTTTGTTTTTTGTTTACCAGTCGTTTCTCTGTCTTGTTTATGAGGATTCGGATGTTGTTGTCTTTGTTTAGCAATAAAGCTTCTTTGAATACCATTGGTCCTAGGAAATGACAGATGATGGGCATCTTTTCTATGGGCTTGTTCCGGTGTCTGCTCGTTTGTTACACGAGCGCCAATGTTCCGAGCAGTGAAATGTGTTCCGACTGACTTTAATAGATTTGTAAATTTCTGAATAGATATTAAATAATAAATATAGATATTTTAAGCATTTTTTCGCGAGGATAACCAAGCATAATCTTTTGCTGGATTATGTGATGTATCATTTGTGTCATACTCCCCTTGAGAACAAACCGAAAACCTTTTCTCTTCGAACAATAAATAACACATACATTGATAAGATAAGGTGTTTTCATTCGGGCCTAATGGCCTTCGTAAGTTGGAATTTCTTCCTGACGTTTCGCTAGCACGCGTGGCTAGCATCTTCAGAGGTGCTTCCATGTCCGATACTGGATTCTGGTAGCTGGTAGCAGACAGTCTGCTGGTTTTTGGGAATCGGGAATCGCGAATCGCGGCCAGTGTAGCACCATTGACTACGTCATCAACTACGGCGTTAGCGCCAGCGGTCCATTTATGATTATAATAGGCAAAGAGGAATATGAATATAGAAGATGCAAACGAGATCTAGCAAGGTAACAGTGTACTATACAGATGAGTTATGCTATTATCGCTATTTTACTAGAAACAAACCATTATAGATATCGTTCAAATAGATTATTTAATAGTACATTATAATACAAGTTTCATAAAATCTCTTATGAAACGAATATTTTATACTATACTTTCTATTTTGGTATTGTTTAATTTAAAAAAAATAGTTATTTTTGTATCAAGGGCGAAATGCTACTTTGGTGATCGAGATCTAATAGTCGAGATCACCAAAGTATTTCGCGCCCAGTTGCAAACAATATTTTTTCTACAACTCCATTTAAATATCAATCATTCGAAGCCAAAATTGCATTTTCAATCAAAGGTAGGTGAATTTTAATTATTTTTGATTTCCTGACAGGTATGTGTCACCATGACACCCAGTTTGCGAAATCTAGTTCGCGCACGGCGTCATGGGAACGTTCAAAAATCAAATACCTGGGAAAAAAAGTGCCACTTCGCAAACTGTCATGAGTGTGCGAACTGTTGGGAAATGGACTAAGAAATAAAAGAACTTGTTAATTATCGATTATCAATATATTTATTATATCGAACACAGCGTGGAAAGCAGAGCGTGTGAACTCATAGAAATAACTAAACGAACTGACTCAACATCAAGACAAAGAATTACAAACCCTTTCTTAAGTAAACGATTTCTCATCTGTTCATCTTACATATAAAAACTATTATAAACACATTCAGTCATCCATAGCTGCGATATAAATTAGCAAAGTATAGGCTAATAATCAAAGTTTAATTTATTAATTTTTGTATATAGGCTAATAATCAAAGTTTAATTTATTAATTTTTGTTTCACTGATATAAATACCTATCAGTTTATCCAACACGAACATCATCATTTTTTGAAAGTTGTAGAAAAAAACTTTTCTTAGAAATCTTATTCTCATCTCATATTACCTGATTTCATATGTTTAGGTTGGTAACACTACTAACACTACCAGTGGCGGCTTGTGACTATTTCAAGTGAGGAGGCTAAAATAGTTATTTATGTATCAAGGGTACTAAGTAGATGATTATGCCCTGAGGGCAACAGTCTTAATTCTCAGTTTTTCCAACTCAAATTTTGTTTATTTCCTCAATGATTAACCAAAAAGGGTACGCCTATGGATTGTATATGACTCCACCCCTTGTTTATTCGCAATTAACCTCGTCCATTTGGGACTCATAAAAGGCGTCTAAATGGGTAGAGTTTTACTATTCATAGGCGTACGAGATATTTTTCAAACAAAATCCTCTTGGAAAACATTCGTTTTGATAAACAACATGGCGGCAAATTTAAACTCAAATCAGTGTTGCCAACCGGTTTGTAAATTAAACTTATATACTGTTGCCGGCTTTTATTACTCAAAAATTGGCCAAGCCTTACAATAAATCCTATTATATGAAGAAGAGAAAGATAGACCTATAAAACGGTAACAATGTTTTCACAAGTGGCGGTGTGTAATTTTGAATAAACTTTAACCGAACTACTTCCATGATTTCATGAACATAAACGCTTCCGTGAGAAACTTTTGACGTCATATTGAACGTTGTTTGCCGAAAACATGGACGCAGTTTCTAACCCAAACTCATGACGTCATAAGACGAACTATTAATGAACTACATTCGTTCAAACAAATTCGGTTTTTGTGTACCAATTTTTTCTGAATTTCTTTTCTTTATTTCTCAATTTTTCCTGTTCAATTTTTGTTTATGCCTGGCTCTTGGATTTGTCAAAATGACATAAATTCAAGAGAAAAAATATGAATCTGCTGATCCAATATGGCGTCTATGGGCAAACAATCAACAACAAAACATCTACATGGCATTTTTAATTGAAAAAACACTTAGATTAATAATATGAAAAACAAATTGGGTTCAGTCAGAAAACAACCACACAAAAGCTTCAAAGTCTGTATATTCTCATACCAGATCAGGGCCGCAACTAGGGGGTGGCGAACTAGGCACTCGCCTAGGGCGCCGAAGGCCAAAAAAAATGCAACGGTTTTACGCGTCATTTGTCGTAGCACGTAAATTTATTTTGCTTGTGTTACATCTTTTTTTTGTCAACCATCAACAATACGAATATCGATAGTATTATGTCAAACAAAGTGCGCATGCATTATTTTTTTTGACTCTTTTCTATTTAGCCGTTTACGGAAACTATAATCAGGTTAACCCGATCAGCAGCTGAATGTTTTCTATCTTTCCTTAATGAATACGATTGAAAAAAGACAAAATACGTCTGCGGGCGATCGGGATAATCCGATCATAGTTTTCGTAAATAACTTTTATTTTTACAATTCAAATCAAATCAAATTCAATTCAAATTATCCGCTGACCAATAGAATTATAGATTGGGCCTTGTGAATAAAATAGCTCTAGCCCTTGGAGCTTGTATATAACTCCGGCCCTTCGGGCTCGCATATAACTCCGGCCCTTCGGGCTCGCATATAACTCCGGCCCTTCGGGCTCGCATATAATTCCGGCCCTTCGGGCTCGCATATAACTCCGGCCCTTCGGGCTCGCATATAACTCCGGCCCTTCGGGCCGGTATCACTGAGTATCCCGACCCAGATTCACAGATTTTTCTCGTGGAGGCGCGGGATTGATTGAAATAATGTCAGATTTTTCTAAACTACATTGAAATATCGAAATTTGGAGAGTTTAACTTGTGAATTATTATTTTAATTAGGAATCAGGAACAGTGTTGCCAGAGAGCAAAAATTTTTTGTATCCAAATTAAAGACAAATTGTACCAAATTCAGTAAAAATGTACCAGCCTATAATAGGGTGGGGGTAACCATACTTTTTTCTCAAATGTCACTTTAGATATAACATTCCAAGACCTACTGGATTAGAACCCGAGTAAAGTTGGCTACAAAGCAATGTTGCCACCTGAAAAAATATATATAAGTATATATAAATTCCCTAAAAAGTTGTTTTTTACTAATTATTTTTTTTTGCGTTCTTAATTTTAATTTAAAACTGAAAATTTTTGGCTGAAAATGAAGGAAATTCAAAGCCTCGTACTTTAAATCGGTTTTCCCGGCCTGGAAAAGCGAAAAATCCAAAAAAAAAACCTCTGAAAAGGACATTCCAAAGCCTACTTGATGAAACTTGAGTTTTTGTTACTTACCCTATTGGAAAACTGAAAATTTTTGGCACAAAATGAAGGAAAGTCAAAGCCTCGTACTTTGAACCATTTTTTCCGTGACGATTATAAATATTATTATATGTAAGTAATAATAAATTGGTTTATTTAAAGCCAATGCGACTCTGTGACATGAAAGAAAAAATCTAAATTATTGTTAATCAGGCCCTGTCTCGTATCCCAAAATGGCCGCTAGTAACATCCCGACCATGAATTCCTTTATTACACGGGCTCTCACTCGAGTTAGCCTGCTGATTGTTTTTGTATATACTGTGCTAAACAATTACCCCAGGCGTATTTGTTTACTATACGGACTTATTGTGGTTTTCCATTTTTTTCTGAAAATTATGTTCAGATATTCTGTAAATGAATCATTTAAGGCAAATTATTGCGTTGGCGGACATGAAATTCTTCCATTTGAAATTTTGGGGGTACCTGTTACCCCCACTTAGGGGTTCACAGGTAGAGGGTGAAAATACCAATAAAATGTGTCTCCCAAAAAACAAAAATTGACGTGTCTGAGCGATTTTTGATTAAACAGCTAACACCTGAGAAAACCTGGGTGGAAAGTTTTTCGTGCCCCACCCGGTATATACTAACTTAACGAGCAATAGATTCATTGAGGTAGAATAATAAGGAGACGCTATCATCATTTGAATAGTGCAATAGAAAACGGTAGGCGTGGCTAACTGTCGGAACAATATGGCTACTTAAACAGAGCCGAACTAAATGGATTCTTTATAATTTATATCTAAAAACATGAAAAAATCCAGATTACACTAAGAAAGGAAAAGTTGCTACAGAAACGTCAACATACTGAAACAGGAGATCCATCCAAGACCCAAAATAGGAATTCTGGGCTTCAAAAATTTTTCGTATTCAAAAAATCTTCGGATGGAAAATGCGGCTCTGATGCAATTCTGACGCGTTGCTATGACAGAAGTAACAGAATCTCAGACAGAAGTGTCGTAACAATATGGCGGAAGTGGATACACTTTTTTCTCCTCATGTCGTCTCCTTATTATTCTACCTGAATGAATAGATCAATAGATCGTTTGTTTACATACCGTATTGGCATATTTTCTTGCTTTTTCGATGTTTTCTGTTCGTTCCTAATTCAAAGTACGTGTTTTCTGT